CTCCTCCATTTCTCTCTCAACCTTTTCTGTCCCTCTCTCCCTCTCTTTCTCTCTCCGTCTCTTTCGTGCCACCCCATCCCCTCCCATTGTGAATCTGATGTGAAACAAACAAGTTAGATGCTCACTGGACTGAATGTGATGCGTTGCCTGGACGACGGAGGGACAGGCCGGGGGAGTCTGGTGCTGGATGAGAGATTGGAGAAAAGTGAGGAGGTGGCTGTGTGTTTGTGTGTGTGTGTCTGTGTGTGTGTGTGTGTGTGTTTGTGTGTGTGTGTCTGTGTGTGTGTGTGTGTGTGTGTCTTTTAGACACTCCCATTGGGCCCCCTGGCTGGCGAGGACTGACTGCTGAGTGGGCTGATTGGCACACAGACATAAGACCCCCCACCCCCATCCTTCTCCAGTCTGTCTCTCTCCTTCTCCAGCTCATCTCCCTTCTCGTCTTCCTCTTCCCCTCGCTCTGTAATGCTGATGATACTTTCTGCTTCAGGTCACTTCATCAGCATAAACAAGAGGATGTTGCCCTGTCCTACAACCTTGGTATGGTCATCCAACATACACACTACAACAAAAAACAAGGATACACACAGACTCAGCCTTGGTTGGCAAGTACTAAAGAGAACTTCATCCTCAATGATCAGACTTTTTTCCATACACAATTAGCATGCAGAGAGAATGCAGCTCAGCACACTGACCTTAACAACCATAATTCTTTAGAGCATGAAGAACACACAGTCACAAAAGAATAACTAACTATGTTAGGTTTAAGATAAAATAAGCCTTTTTTTTTTTTTTTACTGCTTTCAAACACACACACACCCTGATATACTACATCACATTGTGCCCTTTTCACAGCAGACATCTTCACTCATCACAGCGGGAAAAGCACAGGTGTTGCTAATAACGTTAACGCTGACTCCAGGAACCGAAATGGAATTCAGTCATAATTAATTTTATCATTTACACTTGCTGTGATTCGTCACAATGTCTTCAGTGAAAAAATGTGTATTCCCAACGCTGCCACAGAACTGAGACCCCAATAAGCAGAATTAGTAAGCCACAGAGGATCTGTCAAACGGCCCTGTGATATGTCATGAGCTAATTAACATGACTCCAAACAGCCACAGCAACTATGAAGAACAGTGATCTCAAATTGCAACTAACCAACAGATACTTGACAGAAATAAACAGTGCTTACAATGTCTGCTTCTAACATCCCAGTATGTCTCAACTTTGTAACAGTGCTTGCAAAACTGTAGTGAGAAATAGTTCACAAATATAACCATCCTCGCCACAATGACCCTTTTCTTCATTATTCAATGTCCTAGAAAAAACATAAAATTACCAAATCAAATTATTTAAAGGCCTTGAAAACATATTTTGTTGATCTGATTCCTACCATGAGCGATGAGATGCTACATGAACACAAAATGTTTTGCCAAATTTAGATTCATTTTGGTTATTGAGAGATTTCTGTCTAAGCTGTTTTATCTGAGTTATTTGGCTCAGCTGCTGTCAATCAAATCTGATCAAACCACGCCCACACAGTCCAGATGAAGCAGAATAGCTGAGTTTATGTGTTAAATTTTTAATAAATTATTCCTTATAGCGTTATTTTATGAGCTTAAATTTTGACTGTTGCTTAGTCATGAATGTTTTTTTAAAGAAATACCTAAAAATTGAAACTACACTTTTAAAGGCTTTAAGTGATCTTTAATCTTCAGCCAAACACTGTAAATACAACATAATCCAAAAACTCACAATCTCACGTAAAGCACCATGAGCTCAGATTGATTGAGATGTCTCACACAAACGTACACAGCAGCAGTCTCTGGCACAGAATCAAGAGTGTAGTGCCAACTGTCCTATCTCTGACTGTTCAACACACTGTGCACAACCCTCCTTACAAGGTGAAAAGTGTCAGGTTTACCTCAGAATCTAAGTAGAATGGATATTTTTTTACATTGCCCTTTATCCCTCATGTCCTTTTGGTCATAACGATCAAATGTGCTTTTTTTCTTGATTGTTTGTCTAGAACTATTTCCTTTGTCACTGTCTCTCTCCATCTCCCCTTATGTCTCAGTCTAAACCACTCAGGTACACACCCACTTCCAAAACAGACTGCAGATGTGCCAACCTCTCAGAGGCATAAAATATAAAATATTAACCAGCACTGTGGGCATAATGATGCATCGCTGATGGATGCTCAAACCCATCAGTTTAGGCACACACCAAGTCAGATCTGACTGCTCTATGTAATAACAGGCCATTCACTCATATCGTGACCAAGGTCATAAAAGAGGCCTACCCTTCCCTATCAGAATCACTAATTGATAACCATGCTCAGTCCCTATGGCTGAAGGTCATTGTGTCTTCTGCTCTATGGGGAGCTAATAAGCTAAGGGAGAGTGTGGGCCAGAATCCATCTCCATTAAATTAAAGGAGCCTGGTCCCACAATGTGACCTCTATTCACTATGATTTATTGCACGAACAGACTAAATGAACATCAAGCACAAAGGACACCCAGCTAATGAAATCATTGGCCCAACAGTTAAGTCAGTTCACATGTGAATAGAGCTGTAATTGAATTGTTGAGTTGTAGAGAAGTAAAAGGCCCGGCGACACATTCCTTACATCACTGTTGTGTAGATCTTGCAGCTTATTAGTCTGTTGACAAACTCAGCATGTATGCCAGCTCTATGCGTCTAATTTTAGAGGTTAAATGACTTGCTCAAATAAATGGCTATTCATTAGTGGGAAACAGAAAGCAGAATCTTGCAAAGTTACATGCATTTTTCAGCTCAAGATATGAACCCTTCATCCAGATAGATACATTACTGTGCTATTGTTTACTAAAAGTCTATCTTTAGTATTTCATTTGTCATCTTATATTGTAAGAGAGTAGAGAGGATTTTAAGAGGAGAAGAGAATTTTGCAGCCAATTTGGGTTTAATTGTTATTTCCATTGAAGTGGAAGGCCATTACACCTATGTGAAGTGTAATTAAATTGGATGTATTTTATGCAGTCACTAGATGGCGTACTTTACTTGAACTGTTTCATCTGATCCTGCTGCCTATGGCACCAGGTCAAAAACTGACTGATGGTGTTCTTCAAATCTGCTTGACTCATCTTCTTCAAATCTGTCAAATGAGAGAGATCTCAATCATGAGCCCTGCAGCTGCTGAGCTGAGTCCAAATGCAGATTATCGTAAAGGACAGTGAAAGGCTAAGTCTCAACAAATCAAGGGCCTCTACAGAGCTATTTAAAAGAGCCAAACACACTGGAATTACTCTGGATTTCAATAAAACCTCTTAAGAATTGGGTGACTTTTTTTGCACAAGTTATTAGGATAAAGCTTTATTGTGAGGACCAGGGAGTCCTGAGGTGGGCATTAACAAAAATCCACATGTAGGTTAGTAGAAAACACGTTGCTTTTAATTCACAAGTAAATCTGCTCTTCCCTTGTGATGGGAAAAATAAAACACTGCTTAATCCTTAATTGATTAAATGGGTTAAGCTACTAATTTAGGAATGAAGAATTTATTGTGTCTGTAAACTAATGAATAGTTTGAAAAGGGAAAGGTTGAAATGCAAGACCTGTACAAGAGCTGTCCTTGTAGCTGTGAAAGCCCCAGAACCCTATCACGGAAACGGGTCCCTTTTCAGTTCCGGATGAGAGCACATCAGCCTCACAGAGAGAGGTGTCAATTGGTTTCGACTGGGGAGAAGAAAAGGAGGAGGCAAGGAGAAGGAAAGAGAGGGAGGAATAAAAGACATTGGCAAGTTACCAAGTGGTGCAGGTGCCTGCCTAACAACAGGCTGCACTAGCGCATGTATACTCTAGGCAAGTGTGGTCCGGCCTGAGCAGGACCTAGAGACTATGGGAAAACAAACTAAACACACAGAAGGAAGGCCTGTTTGTGTTTGTGTGTGTGTATGTGTGTGTGTGTGTGTGTGTGTGTGTGTGTGTGTGTGTGTGTGTGTGTGTGTCACATTGTCCATTCATGCAGTGGAAACGAATAGATCCTTTCAGCATCAAGACAGGATTTAAGACATTTTGTGGCTTTAAATTTTGTCAAAACTATCCAAAGCTCAAATAAAGCTGCATGATATAACCACACTCCACAAATCATTAATTCTGAAAGCTTAAAAATCCAAATCTCATCCAAACATGCTTCATCCAAAACCTCTCTAGTTTCAAAAAACAAATTTCTCCTGCCTAATTTGTCTGATGGATCACATGAATATAGCTATTGAATAAAGTTAAATCTATATTTAAAGTTTTTGATCTTGATGACAGATCTGTAAAAAATGAATCAGCTGTGGGCATAATCTTTATAATTGTACCTACTGAGTTGTATTTTTTTATGTGTTGCAATATCAACTCATATGACACATATATACATATATCTATATACGTTTGTTTTTAAACTTTGTTGTTAATTGTACAGGTATTATGTTGTATTCTATCAGAAATGAAGACAAGCCACGTGCTTCCAGGGCGTAGTGTGTCACTTATACAGATGAAAGGTCACTCAGCTCAAGTTGTCAGCTCATAAATATACTACAGAAGAGGCAGTATGTTTAAGTTGCTCCATAATTTAATAAAATTGTCTTTTTATAGACTTCATATAAACCTCTGACAATAAGAGGATGCACTTAGGCACACAATGAGACACACTTGCTTTGAAACGACAATTTTTAAATCAAACGAGACTAAGATGCTCGTTTTCAAGTAGGCTGATGTACTTAAGTCTGTATTATTGCAGTTTTGTTCACTTTAAACTTATCAAAAACTCACGTCTGTAAGTTTTCAGGTTCCACCGCTTCACTTTGAAGGTCCTTTGAAGTTAAGCTTCGTCATTGGGCGCAGAGCACCCACTGATTGAACGAACCATTGAAACCAGCTACAGGATCAATGATATTATAGCTAAACGCATATCTTGGGAGAGACAGATTACAGCTAGCAGGCTAGCATAGAGTGCTGCGTCAAGCTAACTGGAGAGTTTCCCTAACAAAACCGGAAATACGGTACAAGTAAGTATTTTTACTTCTTTTTCTTTTATGACAAACAGTGGGATGAAATAGTAAGCTAATATAAACGGTGCACTTTAGACCGGAAATAATAACTTGGCTGAATTAATCATTATGCGTATTTTTCAACGAAAAAGTTACCGAGGACGGAGCTAGTTTTTCTATATAAAGGACTTTCATACCCCCAAATGCTTATAATTAGTAATAATTACTCATTGTATATTGAGTATTTCATTTGTTCTGTGTCGTTGTACTACCTTGTAGCGTCCATCAAACGTTTAGAGAGCCCCAGTCGTGCTTTTATTACGGAAGGTTGTACCGGAATCTCTTCGGTTTTGGTGGTTGCCTTAACGCAGGTCAGAAGCCCAACGTGGAGGAGAGGATGTGGGTATGCTGACATCTGCAAGCCAGAGGTTTAACTGGAAGACGACCGCAGACAGGCGGACAAACAACGGCCATAGCAACCTCGAAGAAAGTCCGAGACATGTAACTTTCTCTGAAGGTAAATTATTTTTCACAGAAACAACCTAAACTCTTCGTTTTTTAGTGAGAAATGTGCTTTTGTAACTGTCACGCAACGTTACGTTATGTTCTAAGTATAGTTTTCATGTTAGCGTTGTCGATGACTTAATGTGCATTTCCGACTCCCTCGTTTGTTTACCAGTAAAATAAGTCATTCGTCGCGATGGTTTGACAACGAAGCAACCACAGAAAAATTAACAAAGGTCACTGTTTAGCTACTTCTGGTCGTTTGTCGTTGACTCTTTTTTGAAAGTTGAGAATTGTTATTATTTTCCTGAGTCACTGCTGTTAACCTGCAAATTTAATGCGATGATCACTGAGAGATCAGTTTAAGATTTCACCTTCTCTGCTGACTATTGGACAAATTATGATCCTAACAATGATTTATTTTGACAGATGAGTAGACCTGTTGCTGAACTTTGTGTTTTGACGGCAGTCAGACCCGTGACAGAGACCCACTACACTTGTCTCCTCAATCTCTTATTTGCCTTCAAGTACATTTGAATCCTCTTTCCGTATAAATCCGATAAAACAGCCGAAAATATGATTTCCTCAAGATAAAAGTAATATCAATAGACAGACCGTACAGAGCCATAGACTGACATTTCACTCAGTATAAATATAGAAGATAGGCGGTTTTACTTTTGCTTTTAAGTGAAGCCTTTTTTTGGCATCCTCTCTGTTGAAGTGAGGCGAGAGAAGAGAATCAGCATTTCTCAAAGCTTTCTGTTTTATAGCGCTGTTCAAGTCTCTAGCCAACTTTTAAATTAAGCCTTTCATCAGTTATCGCAGCCTGGCTCCTTTAAAACACTTGCTGTCAGTTTTGTATACATAGATAGTAATCAGCAAAGAACTGTTTGTGTTGTAGAGAGGAATCACTAATCCTGTCTTGTGGGATTTTTACACACTGAATTGTTATAGAGGGCGGAAGTTGCTTTGTAACCTGTTCCACCGGTGCTTGCTGTATATTACACAGGTTACAACTGTTTGTCTTTTTATCTTGACTGGCTAATGAGGAAATGAGTCGTGTATTGTATGCAATGCAGACAGTTCATTCCAGGCTAACCATGGAGACCAACTGGTCTTTCTCCTGTGCCACACAGTTATCCTCAGTGCTGACATCTGAGAATGAAGTGACTTAAACATCAAGCCTAGTTTGTCTCCTCTGCATAACTGTAGTATTGTATGTATGAGCTATCTTTTTCATTGCTCTCTCTCTTTAAAGTCTTGTTAAGGTGATGGGGTGAAACATGCACCACAGATTGCAGCATGGGAAGCAAATGCAAATGTTATCCGTCACCTACTTCTTTTTTTGTTTTATTCCTGCTTAGCCAAAAAATGGGGCAGGATTTAAGCTGCATCTCAGCCCTCTGTGCCCTCTTGCTCGTTCCAAACAGCTCCCCAGTAAGGCTATCAGATTCAGAGAGAGTGGAAGGTGTGATGGACAGTCAATAAAAGGGGGTTTTGTCTGCAGGCGTCTCCATTTTGTAACCTCAAGACTCCCTAGTCTTCTGGCCAGGACCCAGACTGAAGTGAAAGGGCTGCGGTGCTGCCTTGAAGGACTCAAAGTGGAAATTGAGTCCCCTCTGACTTAGTAGCATGGAACCGTTGGCTCTCACACACCACGCTCATGCAGGTTTATTTTACCACATTTTCTCAGCAGCAAAGTCAAATTGTTCCCAAAACAGTTTTTTGCAGAATTAGGAAATAATAACCATTATTGGGCTCTAGTGTGATGAAGGAGTGTGAGGAAGGAGAAGGACTGCCTCTGTGTGTGTGTGTGTGTGTGTGTGTGTGTCTGCGCATCAGTATTGCTGCTAAATCTGTCTGGCAGTGGCTGGCACTACTGTAAACGGCACTGTGCTCTAATATTAATGCTACACAATTATGTGATTACATCCAGTTCAGTGTCAACACAGCTAAGTGCTCTGTTTTCACCACAACCCTCTTTCAAATCCTGGCATGCTAAGCTGATCTGTCAGACATGAATGTCTAAATTGCTTTCTTCATGTATCTACAAACCTAGGCTAATCCTATTTTTACGTCAGCAAAAAAGGGATCTATCCTCGTACAAATATTCCACCAAGGTTTTTGGGCAAGATGTATTTTTGGCTCAGTGGAAGAGAATGGAAATCTTAAAATGAGGAACCCCTTCATAAAGGCCTGATTCTTAATCTAAATCTAAACAAAAGGGTTGTTGTTGTTGTGCAAGAGCTTGGCATGCTACATAACAGGTTGTGAGTATCTTAACACAAAATTAATAAATTCCATTGTGGCATTATATGTTGGGAAGATTGCAAGAACTTTACTGATGTGATTGAATGTGATTGATGGAGTCAGATGCTTCCAGAAGAAAGAGATTTCAGCTGTAGCTAAAACTATTATTTTTTTTTGGGGAAAAGCATCTGATATGAGCTTTTGCACACAAGACTTAAGCCCTCAAAGGTTTTCTTGGTAATGATGCTCACATGAACAAGCATGAATCGGCTGATTAGAAACCTCACATGACATGTAAAAATGTGCAGCCTCGCAGTAGCACTTATTTAAGATCTGCTGTGATGCGGGGTGACTAAAACTGCACCGTTGCAATGAAGTTCATCAGGTTAACACGACTCTCATTGGAGTGCATCACAGACTCAATTTATTCAGCACATTACTGTACTGTAAGCTGTAATTTAGCCTCTTCCATCTTTGCAATTTGAATTTAATGAGCATCTTAATGCAGGCCTGGGCATGTGATTATATTTATGATGTCAGTGCTGATTACCAGTGGTCTGGTCTATTGGAGCTGTCTCTCCTCAGGGCACTTGTGAATTTAGAGTCCAAGACTTTCTTCTTGTATTAGTGTTTAGGTGAATAACCTCTCCTAATTGCGAATGCGGTTTACTTTATTTAAACATCATTCTAATGGGGAGAGCTCTGATTAAGAGAGCTGTTGTAGATGTCTTGTCACTGGTACTTACTTGGTGCCGTGGATGGATTATACACTTGTGCTCCCCTCTCTGTTGTATGGCTCTGACATGCAATATAGAAATGTTAATAATAATTTTTTTGTTTAACCCTATGTCTCTTTCTTTTTTCCAGAGGCTTGTGTCCCGTAGGGCACCCCGAGGCTCAGGCTGTCACGGTGCCTCCCTGGGGCTTTCCATCATGAGGGGGCGTTGCTCTCGAAAACTAGGTGTGCTGGCCAAGGCTGGCTTCCTGATCTGGGTACTGTGGCTGGGCTACCTTTTGTTAGAACGCTCCTCTTTCCCTTCCGCTTCCTCTGGTGAGGAGGAGGATGAAGAGCATGATCTTCAGGCGAGACAGCTCTCCATAGACGAGAGCGGGGCTAATGGGCAGCTTGCTAGGCCTCTCTACATTAAGCCACCACCAGACAACAATGCGCCGGGGGAGTGGGGTCGGGCCACACACCTTACCCTGAGTCCTGAAGAAAAGAAACAGGAGCAGGACTCTGTGGAGCGCTACGCTATCAATATCTATGTCAGTGACAAAATTTCCCTCCATCGGCATATCCAGGACCACAGGATGAATGAGTGAGTAAAGTAAAAAGGCATCTTAAAAAAGAATGATTAGCTGCCCCGGTAGCTCACCTGGTAGAGGGTGTATCATGTTTCCTTACCACAGCAGCCTGGGTTTGAGTCTGTGCTGCATGTCATTGCCTCTCTCTCTCTCTTCCCTGACTTTCCTGTATACCTCTACTGTTGCTATAGGAATAAAGCAGAAATGCCGAGAAAGAAAAAAAAAAAGGGAACGACCCATTTGTCACTCACTGACTAATGGGCTATGACAGCCGATTGCCTAAAATTGTTTCTCAGCAAATCACTAGTTCTTATTGCTTGCTATTTTCTTTGAGGTTCTAGCCAAAACATATATGTATCTCTGGCCTCGGACACTGCATGGAGCTGATAGCTGTGCTGCAGCTGTGTCTGGGATAAATTACTCAATAGAGATTAAGTTGAGCTCTTTACTGGAATCAGTTTTCCACTGACAGTTAGAAACAAAGATGAAGGCTCTCATGATGCATTGCAGGGCTTACTGAAGCTGAACTGAAGCTGGTGTAAGCAGCTCTCTCCCTGAACGGATTTATTCCATCCAGAGTTGTTGTCCACAGCTCAGCTTGTGATGAAAAACAGAATATGACGTTTTGTATTAGTATTTTTTTTTTTTTATCTCTTGCTGGCTACCATCCTAATGAAACCCAGATGTGGTATCCATCAGTGTGGTGAGAACCATCATTTGACTGTGTAAAGACCATGTGTTTGTTTTATATGCCCTGGAGGCTACTAGTGAAGCGTAGATTCTCTTAAGCAGTGGATTCAAGATTACATTTGAGTATAACCTTTAGAGATTACTGGCATTAAACATGCCATGATAAATTGTCTCAAACTACTAACACAGAGAAATGAATCTCATAGGTCGCCAAGGTGAAAATGGAGTAAAATATTTTCAGTGATATGACTGCATATCTAGAGATAGACTGATAAGATGCTTTGATCTCCTCACTGGGCTAAGGAGTCTGCCCGCAAGGTTAAAAGTTAAACCTTGTGCTTATTCAAAGATAACAGTCACACAAGAGATATCATTATTGGGCTCCAGCTGTATATTATTCAGTGATTTTAAAACAGACTCACCTTCCTGTACAGACTGTCACCGTGTGACAGAGCATGATGGGTCTTTGCAGTTGCACAGTGACATTCTTGACAAGTTCAAATTTTTTTCCCCCTGCCTGCATCCTGTTGGCGTTTTAGTGATTGGCTGTGAACCTGACACAAAGTGGTAATGGAGACACAGTGAGGAATGTGTTAGCAGGGATGAGGTTGTGTGTAACTTTTGGTGCTAAAGGTGCTGTATGTAGTTTTGCTATTGCTACATAGCCAATGTTAGCATTAACAGCTGTTTACTTAACAGTGTAGAAGAAACATTGCGAGTTCAGCATCAAACTTAATTCCTTTACTCAGCAAGAGCTGTCTCCAGCGGTGGAAAGCAACATAAATTTGAACTCACTTCTTTTCTTCTACTGAAGTTAACACACTAACCAGCTGGCTGCTCCATCTTGTAATACTACTTTGCGATAGTGAGTCACTGTAGCATCCAGTCTGCTCTCAGTTTAACATGAGAGGATGAAGAAGTAGCATTGATCAGAGTATTCTAACGCCTTATCTTGTAAATGCAGTGATGGCTGAAGCTCATGTAAAGTGACACTTGTCACCACCACCACCACCACCCAAAGACCACTTTCAACGGCAGAGAAAACTTGCATATTGCTATGCTATTTTTGAATGAACAGATCTTATTCACTAGCTTAAGACTTGTTGTGTGGATAATATGTTGGCCAGTTTTATTAAGAGACATCATATTTATTCTGCCTACACAAGCAGCATGCTGTGAATGGCTTTCATCCAATAACGAACTAGCACTCAGTTATTATGGGCTGTTATAGATGGAGTGAGATTTGTGGATTGCATCATTGTTAGTCAATGGATGGTGAATGCCCCTTCCTATTGTCAGACTGTCCCAGGTGCACTAGTGTCTCTGTTAGGCTTTATGCCTAGCAACTATATTGTTATGTGTTATGTCCTCCCAAGCTAATTTACTTCAAGGTGTTGTGTATGCGCTTGTTGGAGTTCTGCAACTCCGTAATTATATCAGTTTCCTCTTGGGAGCAAGTCTTGTGGCAGATTCACTTTGGACTGCTCTCTCTGTCATGAAACTGCTGTAGCACAGTAAACACAGTGCTTCTGAGGAAAGGAAACTGGCTGATTTGATTGGTCGTGACTAATACTAGGGCATAATGTAGTTGTTCTAATCCTAACAAACCTCCAACCGTGTCATAGTTTTGGGTTGAGCCTCTGGTAACAAAATTACCAGAAGTCATTCAGCCTGTGCCAATGGTAACACTCTCACAGTGTTGTACACACTGAGTCACAAAAGTACAGCTCACACAAAAAATGTTTTCTCTCTCTCTTCTTCTCTCTTCCCATGCCTGATTTTGTTCTCATTCCATAAAGTTGTTACTTTCCAGTTTCTCACTTAAATTTTCATTCATTTTCATCCGGTTTTCCTGTCCCCTCTGTTCTGCTATTTTTGTCTATGTTTGCCCAAGTTTCTGTGGTCTCTCACAGAGCACTGCTGTGGTATGTTGCTCATTGATGTGATACCCTCCCTACCCCCATCCGTACTTCTACAGTTCTTTATTGTTTTAATAACTGCCATCTGGATTAAGACCAGCCATTTCCTCTTGCCACAATAGTTACTGAAGTCACTCTGGCCATATGCAGAAATAGTCTTTGCCAGTCTTCAAGTCAATTTAGGGGGCCATGTTTTGTTGTTGTTGTTGTTATTTATTTTTTTGATAAATATGTACCCTACATGTGTACTATTGCTTATGTCAACCCTGTCTCTCCCTCCACCCCACCCACCCACACACACAAACATACTTCAGATGCCGAAGTAAGAAGTTTGACTACAGGCGTTTACCCACCACTTCTGTGATCATAGCCTTCTACAACGAGGCCTGGTCCACCCTGCTGAGGACTATTCACAGTGTGCTGGAGACTACGCCTGCCATCCTGTTGAAAGAGATCATTCTCATCGATGACTACAGTGACCGAGGTCTGACACTCAACATTGATAGATAAACCAATGTGTTATTTTTTGGTCTGTAAAAATAAAACTGACAGAAGACAAAGTCTTTCAAGCTCAGAAACAAAGAGGACTCAGCCTAGTTTAGTAAAGTGAACAAACCAAACCTCAGTTGTGCTTTGATTTTGTCACTTTGACAGCGTACAAGGGAACGAGTCAGGACTCTGCTATATATAGACAAAAGATGCTATCTATGGTGCAGTGAATAGATAATGCCTCTGGATGCATTCTGAAAGCAATCAGGAAAACATCCTCACAAATAAATCAGTCACAAATAAGGAGTAAAGCTTGGGGTTACTGCATGCTATACTGGAAATGATTGCCTCTGTAACTAACTTTAAAGGTTATGAAAATACATGGATTTTGGTAAGAAGGCAACAATTATTATTAGAAATGAGAAGGTCTTGGCAAAGCAATTGCAAATTAGTTGCCTGTCTGGTCCAGCCTCTGCTTGAGTCACTCTCAGTGTGTGTGTCTATGTGAGTTTGAGGTTTTGCTTATATAGCAGCCTGATATTTCTAGGACATCATTTATTTAAATTCCATAGTATTATTGAGTCCTAAATGTTGCTGTACAGTGTCAGCATCTTTATGTTAAAAGTTTGAACTTAAGTAAGGAACATCATTCTTGACCTCGGGAAACAGTATGTGTGACTAAAGTCTCAACTCAAAGGTCAACTTACTAGCTTTTTCTGATCGTTCAACTGCCTCTCACAGTTTCCATCAGCAAATGGAATGTCAGCTGATTTCTGCAGACCATGTGTTAATTCTGAGAATGATACTACTTCATTTCAGAAACTGTATCTCGATGCATTGATGTCTGTCTGTCTTAATGGAATTAGTATTCGGTCCCAGCTCGTCTAGTCTGTGTGTATCGGAGACATTACACCATAACGGTGACTTCAGTGAGCACTGAGCTGCCATGACATCATTTCCTCTCCTCTGACCACCCTGACCAAATGGAATGCTAGAAATGCCACTCCCGAACCAGAACGGTTACCGTGGACAGACAGCGACTGGAGGACTGACAGCGTTCTCTCATGTTTCCAAGCTGGTTGAACAGGGTCTAGCATACCAAGCCTTGTTTTGACTTCAATTGTTCTCAGCCCATAAAAGGTGTGTTTATGTGGCTCCTCTGACATTGTCGTTTAGGTAACTGTGAAACAAATTTATAAGTAGGAATTCATTCATCAGCAAAGGTTTTAATGTGAGCAAGTGGTTAAACCTGCATTAATCCATATTTTAGATATTGGCATTGAATTAAATCAAGCTCATGTTTGATAAAAAAAGAAATCACTTTCACTCAACTGTGTAGTCTTTGAGACCCTTTTTGCTAATTGTTGTGATTTTGCAGCCTTCTAATTAACTTTGGTTGAGTTGCTTTGGTTTGTCTGAGCCACAGTTCTCAAACCCCGGCGGGCAGCCAGTACCAGCAAAAAAGCTCTGATGAATCATTGCAGGCTACCTGCCCAGCATCAGTGGCAGAGGGATAAAGTTAGCGACAAGTTGGTGAACAAATGTGGACATCTAGCTAGCTAAAGAGTCGTATATATAGGAGTTGGTGGAGACTATAACAGCTGGAGTAGAAGTTTAATATTCTATTCATAATGCGACCAGAGACACAAATCCAGATAAATGCTAGTTTTACTCTGTGTCTGCTTGATTTGAAAGCAGACAATATTTGATGATTATGTCTGTGTGTGTTATGAAAACTAGGCTACCTGAAATCCCAACTAGCTGACTACATCAGTAATCTGGAACGTGTGCGGCTCATCCGGACCAACAAAAGAGAAGGGCTGGTCCGGGCACGTCTCATTGGCGCCACCTATGCTACGGGTGACGTGCTGACATTTCTTGACTGCCACTGTGAGTGCGTCCCTGGCTGGATTGAGCCTCTGCTGGAAAGGTGGGTTGAACAAGTTAGATGAGTTAGAACACCAGGAACTTAGTCTTGAAGCTGTACAAACTCACCATGAATATAAAATAGAACACAACACAAAATACTGAAGCACAATTTCATATTTTTGTCTTTTGTCTCCCTGCTTTTTGCTTGATACTGGTCATGCTTTGTGTTTAGGATTGGTGAGAATGCCAGTACCATTGTGTGCCCTGTGATCGACACCATTGACTGGAACACTTTTGAGTTTTACATGCAAACAGATGAGCCAATGATAGGAGGATTTGACTGGAGACTCACCTTTCAGTGGCACTCAGTCCCTGAAGTGGAACGCAAGAGGCGCAAGTCTCGCCATGACCCCATCAGGTGACTATTTAATGCTTCACAAGGTCTACTCACATGGAAGATCACTTTGTCAGGTTGACATATGACCTTATTTTCCGTCCATTTCTTCCAGATCTCCTACAATGGCAGGTGGATTATTTGCTGTGAGCAAGGCCTACTTTGAGTACCTGGGCACATATGATATGGGTATGGAGGTGTGGGGAGGAGAAAACCTGGAGCTCTCCTTCAGGGTGAGTTCAGTTAGGGACACAGAGCACTTATCCACTTAGCAATATGAGACCAGAGTCTGGTTTTAAAAATGTTAGGAAAGAGTGACTAACTAAAAATCTACCAGAATCTCTTACTCACAGATGAAGCATCCACAGACTCAGCTTGTTTTTTTTTTTTACTGTGATAAAATGTAGACAGGAAGCACCTCTGTTCATAGTGTATGCTCCTAATCATTTGATTCATCCGTCTAACAGCTGACTGATCCAACAGTCAGTGGGTAGTTAGTGTGAGAGAGACACGTGTCAGTGTCAGATCACAGTCAGCCATGGCATCTGAAACTGCACCCTGATATTAGCTGATACCTTGTTGTGACATTGGTGTCGCTTTTCACTTGTTTGCGTCAATCAAATTGGCACAGATTTTAGGCTATGTGTGAGTTTGCAGCAGAGGCATGCAAAGGTAGGCAATGTAGATGGTGTGTGCATGATTTATAGTGTGTACGTGGTTGCAGTGTGAAGACGAATGGGCTGTTCCCACGAGTGATGTGTTATGCATGTGGAAATAAAAATGCCTCTCACTGGGACTTTTTCCATAAATAATTTATGTTTAGTGAATTGGTTTCAAGTCTGCTTTTGGAGTGCTAGAAATAAATGGTGGGGAGTAAAATGCCTGGTGAATTAAGATGGAAGCAACTGTCATGTACTGGCTGTTTGGCTGTGGATATATGATAATGATTTTGCCTTGTGTAATTGGAGCACAGCTCAGCCAAGTATTAAGAAATAACTTGCAACAACCTTTCATCCTTTAAGGGTATTTGCTTCTTTCTTTTTGTTTTTCCATGGTGAAAGATCAAGCAATTATACAATGCAAATTGATACAATAAATCAGCTGCATTCAGATGCAGTCGTATGATTTGTGAGAAACAGGGTGATTTTCACGGTTAAGTTGAAGGGTAAAGAGCACAAACTTTGTTTGTCATACAGAGAGGATTTTTAGCAGATATTATCATTTTATTTGAATTAAGGTTTGTATCTTCCTTCAAGAAAGGATTTAAGGGGGCTTCCGGGTGACGATGTAGGAGAGCAGACGTCGGTTTCAGGTCTCCCGATCACACTTGCCAAACTTCCTATTTAAACATCGGACTTTTATCTATAAAACCGTCACAGCGTGTTATAAAGTCACCCTTACACTTTTGGTACCAAAATGAACAACTCTAAACATAAGAAAAGTAGCGAACAAGCTCCAGTTGCAACACGAGCTAGCACTAGCATAGCTAGCAAACTCTCCGCCATGGCAGCTAACACTGCTCCTGCTAACGTTGGCTTACCTGTCCGGGAGGATGCTACTGACACCATCTCCATGTCGCAGCTGGTTGCCGAGCTTGCGAAGCAGAGAGCCGGTTTGAAGGATGATGTCTCTGGGCTGATTCAAGAATCTTTAAAGCCACTTCAGACAACCATGGATGCCCTCCGGGACACGGTCGGCTCGTTCCAGACCCGCCTCTCAGCCACAGAAACTATCGCCGGGGAAAACTTTGAACGACTGACCACAGCCGAAGTCACAATTAAATCTCTCTACACCCAGAATCAAGCACTGTGGGACCGCGTAGACGACTTGGAAAACAGATCACGTAGATCCAACTTGAGAATAGTGAGCATCCCGGAGGGCAGCGAGAACGGTAAGGACCCGGTCAAGTTTATCTCTGAACTCCTGGCGGAGTGCATGGGCCCTGGTGTGTTTTCTGACCCGCCCGAACTGGAGAGGGCTCACCGGTCACTCGGCCCAAAACCGAAGGAGGGGAAACCAGCTAGACCATTCGTCCGTGCGCTTTCTCCGCTTCCAGCAGAGGGAAGCAGCCCTGCGGTGGTCCCGGAACCATGAGGTGAATTATCAGGGACACCTCTGAGGGTTTACCCTGACCTGAGCTCCGCGCTGGCGAGGAAACGAGCAGCCTTCAACGAAGTGAAACGGGCTCTCTACCAGAAGGGAGTCCGGTTCCGTCTGATGTACCCGGCCCGTCTGGTAGTAACTTTTGAGGCGCGGACGTTCACCTTCGACACACCTGAAGACGCCCAGGAGTTTTACAAGCGCCGGGTAACTAAGGAGTAGGCTAATAAAAACGTCTGTGACTGTTGGCACTCATCATCGAGTAGAATGGCTCCTACACCAGACACCGGACTTAACTAACTGGACTTTTACATCAACAATATTTACACTCGTTTTCACCGTTGGTCCCAGGTATCCTTTTTCCGTTTTAACCACTATATATTATTATCGTTACTTGCTTTTCCCATTTGATGTATTTGATTACTCTAGACACAAGTGTTGAAACAACCGGTGTGGGATGTAAATATTATTACTTCAAATGTTACCTTTAAAGTAAGCAATTTAATACCTGACACTGGGTTAAAGCCACCTGCATTTGTCTTTGCGTTTGTTTATAAATGCATGATTACTTTTTTTTTTTTTTTTTTTTTTTTTCTACAACAGACAACTCATTGCTATATAATACGTTTATATATATACCATTACTTTGATCGGAGTACTAAAGTGAAAATAGGGTTAATGAGGACGCATCTCAAGGAAGAGCAGGGAGATATGGTGAGCCTGCAGTTTCTCAGTTTGGGAGGTAAACATAGGCATTGTTTTTTATTTGTTTTATCATGTTTCTTGTTTGTTATTTGGGGGTTCTTTTAGGGCTATTAAGGTATTGGGGGAGTGCATCTCTGGATCTCAAATCTATCCAGCAGTTTCTGTCAGCTTATTTTCACCGTTTTACTATATATTTTTAAGTGGAGGCTTCTTCAGGCTCTTGGGAGTGGGGCTGGGCTGTGGTGCGGCAGACCATGTGGTTCCCAAAAACCTTACTGATAGATTAGTGACCATGAACAGGACACAGGATGATAATCAGAGTACAGGAGGGGCAATGTAAGACTTATTTCATGGAATGTTAAAGGTTTGAACGGACCTGTAAAGCGAGCTAGAATATTTGCACATCTGAAACTTTTAAAATGTGAAAGTTTGCATTTTTACAAGAAACACATTTATGGTTAAAAGACCACATCAGATTAAAAAAACAGTGGGTTGGCAAATTTTTCATTCAAATTTCAACTCCAGATCACGTGGCACAGCAATTATAAATTCATAAAAAAACACTCTTTAATGCCACAAAAATTATATCTGACCCACATGGCCGTTTTATATTATCGTTTCAGGGTCCCTCTACCACAAACCCGTTCTATTGGTTAACATATACGCACCCAACTGGGATGATGAGAAATTCATAGAAAAGTAATCTCGTCTATACCTGACCTAAACTCGCGCTGCTGATTTTTTGGAGGAGACTTAAACTGTAACAATTACCTATCCTTGGACCGTTCTAACCCAAAATCCAAAATCCCTCCCAAAACAGACTAAACACTGTCAGCGTTTATGAACAAATTGGATGTTTTGACCCATGGCGCTTTCGCTTCCCTCATAGTAAAGTATTCTCATTTTTTTCACATGTCCACCATTCGTATAGCAGAATCGATTATTTTTTTCATAGACAGCCTATTAATCCCCTTTGTCAAAAATATAGATATGCCACCATAATTGAATCCGACATGCCCAGTAATATTAGATCTTTTCTTCCCACTCAACTTCTCTGACCGGGCCCCATGGAGATTCGATACTACACTACTGACAGACCGAAGAATTTCTGCCAGTCGATTGTCAACAGCCATTGATAATTTCCTAGAAACCAATAACAAGGAATGGTGTCTCCCCTTCTTTGCTTTGGCAGACTCTTAAAGGGTAAATAAGGGAGATATTATCTCCTACACATCCAGGTTTAATAAAGCTAGGAAGCTAGAACAAGAACAACTTCTCAGTTCAATATTTGATATAGAATCGTCAATACTCTCTTCTCTCCCACTCCGGAACTTTATAAAAACAAGCTGGATCTTCAAGCCAAATATGAATTATTGTCGTCTGAAAAGACAGAACGTATATTACTGAAAATCACGAGGCTTTGTCTACGAACATGGCGAAAAGGCCGGCAGACTGTTAGCGCATCAATTAAAATGTAAATCTTCCACTCCAACAGATTACACAAATACAAAAAGAAAATGGGGAGCTTACTACAGACCCCCTCGACAATCAACAATACCTTCAAGGCATTTTACTCAAAACTCTATACTTCAGAGCACCCAGTGATGATACCGTTATGCACACTTTTTTCAAGAACTTAGACGCCCTGTTATCAATCTCGCTCATAAAGCAGAACTAGAACTACCTTTTTCGACTGACAGAGGTTTTCAAATGCAATTTCGGCGATGCAGGCGGCAAGGCCCCGGGCCCCGATGGATATCCAATTGAATTCTACAAAAAATTTTCAGCCAAACTGACGCCACTTATTTTTGGACATGTTTAATGATTCGCTGGGTACTGGGGCCTTGCCGCAACACTAACTGAGGCATCCATAACACTTATACCGAAGCGGGGAAGGACAAGACACAGTGTGGATCATATCGGCCCATCTCGTTGTTAAATAGCGACATTAAATTCTGGCCAAGGCTCTTGCCCGGCGCCTGGAATCTGTTACTGATGAGGTGATCTCCCCCGATCAAACAGGTTTTTATGACTGGTCGCCACTCCTTCTCTAACATCCGGAACCTTCTCAATGTTCGTATACTCCCTGCATCCGGGGAGGTACCAGAAGTGGTTCTCCCTGGATGCAGAGAAGGCTTTTGACAGGGTGGTGGGCGTATTTATTTGATGTCTGCGGGCCTTTGGTTTTGGTCCCACTTTTATTGCCTGGATTAAACTTCTATACGCCTCACCAAAGGCATCAGTGGTTACAAACGGGAAGCGATCGGAATTTTTTTCACTGTCGAGAGGACACGTCAGGGGTCCCACTAAAGTCCACTCTTGTTTGCTTCGCCACATTGAGCCTCTGTCCATCATGTTAAATCTTCCCAGATATG